AGAGTGCAGGCATGCTGGTCTTTTAGTAAGAGCAAACGATCAAATAAGTCAAGCCTCCCGGCCCGCGCACACGTAGAAGAGAGCAGCTAGCCCTTTCCACTCTCTCCGTAGGAGTCCAGGTCACCACCACCAGATCGGAGATCGGTTCAATCCCCACGACCGACACCCGCCTCTGCCAGTCTATCACACACATTTGGACGGTGGGGACCCAAAGGCTTCGCTCACAGCAGGCGCTCCGTAAGGATAGAAAGGGGAAGAGCACCCTCCCTCCCTCCCCCCCATCAACAGGCCGGTCAGCGAGGGGCGTCCCCATCCTAGGAGGCTGTGCATGCAGGCCTGGGGCTTGCCTCTACCCCTCCCCCCACCCATCAGGGCTGCCCCAGTCCCCCCAGCCCCCCAGCCCCCCAGCCCTCCAACCCCCGCCAGGCAGCCGGGATCCTGCATGTGCACAGCGGATTGGTCTTCCCCCATCTTCCCCGGGCTGAGTCCCGCCTCCCAGAGCCAGGACACACGCAGGCACACGGGCGCTGGCCAGGGGGGATGGGCCCCAACAGCTGGAAACATCTGGTTTGAATTGTCGCTTGGAAGCACCCGCCAGGCAGCCAAGGAATTTGGGAGCTAATTTTAGGCTAAAAGACCAGAGAGCTCAGCAGGGCTGAGGCTGGCTCCCCAACCCACAGAGGCGAGGCTGCGAGGCTCGGGGGAACACGGAGGCCTCCACGGTACCCCTCGGATGGTCCACGTCGGCCCCGTAGCCAGGGGCTGTCCCTCCCAGGATGGGCGCTGACTGGGCACCTGCAGTGTGCCAGCCACGTCCCTGCTCACTTCAGCCCCCCACAGCCCCGGGAGGAGCAAGGGCGCGTCTCCCCATTTCACAGGTGTAGAAGCTGAGGTTCCCAGAGCTCAGAGCCCTGCACCTAGTCAGGGAGTGGGGATATGACCCAGGTCTGCCGGACTCCTAGCCTTAGACGCGAGGTTCTCTTGCTCTCCGCCCCTGGCACTTGTCCCACAGCCCTGCCTCTGCCCTCACACCCTTGCAAAGTGTCCCTAGCACGTGCGTTCATTCGGCAAATGTTTCCCGAACCCCTACTGTGTGTGCCAGGCCCTGTTCAGGGACAAAGAAAGAGTGACGTGGGGGACAGAGGCCCCTAAACTTGCATAGCAAAAATCAGTATACCACCGACATCACTCCAGGCAGCCATCGGTGCCTCAGAGGGAAAAGGGGGACTGTTGTCAAGGACAACTGGGGCTGGGCTGCAGGGAGGGCCTCTCTGAGGAGGTGACATTGCAGCTGCGACCTAAAGGACGAGAAGATGCCAGCCATGCAGACGTCTGCGAGGAGGGTACCAAGCAGAGGGAACAGCACGTGCAAAGGTCCTGAGGCAGGAGCATGTGAAGAAGGAAGAGCGCGAGTGAGAGAGGTGACAGGTGCCCTCCTTCACGCATCCAAACGACACATCTGTCAAGAGGTGAGATGGGGGTCTGAGCAGGGCAGGAGCTGGGGTTCAGAGGCTTTGGCTGGTGGGATTAGGGGACCCCACTGTCTTACGTATTTATTTGCTGGGGGGCTGCGGAAAACTCCGGGGGGAATTCCTTGAAGCCTGTTCTCAGTGCCTGGGACATTCTTCTCTCTATATCCTTCCTCCCAAGTGAACAAGTCTGCATCTTTCCAGTCTCAGGCATTCTCCTGACACCTCCTCACCCCACCTCCAAGGTCTGGCCACACCGCGCGCCCTCAGAGCCCCCCGCCCCTCCCCTCTGGACTCTGGGCCCTGCCACAATCTGGGTGATCATTCGATTCATCTCCCTCTCCCTTTAGACCCAGGAGCCCCAAAGGGCAGGGCCAGTTCTGTACGGCTCCCCCGGCATCCCAGGACCCAGTACAGGGCCTGGCCCAGAACGGACTCATCATAGCCATCGAGTTCTGGGGCTTGGCGGGGTGCCAGTGAAGGGCGGGATCTGGAGGATGAGTTTGGGGAACCTCTGCCCAGATCACCCCAGGGCTGGCAGCCCGAGCTCATAGACAAAAGGGACCTGGAGTAAACTTAGCATCCCCCCCACACACACACTTCCTGTCTACCCGCCTTCCTTCCCTGTCACCGGAGCTGAAGTCAGCAGTCTGGTTTCTTAGCAGTGTGTCCTGATGGAGTAAGAGGTCCAGCTTTCTGAACCTCAGTTTCCCCTGCAGTGAAATGGGGGTAATTATTGTGTCCACATCGTAGAGTTGTTGTGAGGCCTAAAGAAGCTCATACAAACTGTTTGGCCCGGGGCCGGGCCTGCAGTCACTGCCCAGGAAATGCCAGCTCCTTGTCCCCAGCCTCCTCTCTTTGTCTGTGTCCTGCTCCTGCTCCTGCTCCTGCTCCTTGCAAGAAGGTGGGGCGGGGTCCAACTTTGTCACCCTTCCGAGCGCCAGCGTCTTCCCTCAGCAGCCACGAGCGGCAAAGGGTGACTGATGGGGACTTCCAGGCGCCAGGGCCGGTCAGCAGGGGTGAGAGTTTGGGACATGGGATTCCCCTAGAACCCCGCTTGCTCTGGACGGTGTGACATAGTGGTAAGGACATGGCTTTCTTTAAACAACAAAAAACAACGGCTATGGGCTTTCTGATTCAGGCCTGGGTTCCAATCCCAGAGCTTCGTGCATGAGCTGGGGCAGGCGAGTTCTTCTCTCTGAGCCTCAGTTTTCTCGTCTGTAAAATGGGGAGGGAGCTAGTTCCTCCTTCCCAGGCTGTTTAAGGGGACCCCAGGAGATGTTGCAGATGTGCGTGCTCGGGCTGTCTCTGCTGAATGGATTAATCGGGCAATTCGGGCGCTGATGTCCAAGGACAGTGGGAGGTCCGGGCAGGAGGAAGGGCACATGGTATGCAGGAGCCGGCCTGCGTCTGAGAGCCAATTGTCAAATTTTCCGAATCTTGTGAGCCAGTTGTTTCATAAGTTAAACTATGTTACATTACAAACCAAGGTCCTCCATACTCAAAACCCACCAATTTCTAATTATTTTACTACATTCTCCTATTATTTATGCTCTTGAGATGACTTACATGTATTGTATCACCTATTACCGTGGTTGGCAAACTGCGGCTCGAGAGCCACATGCGGCTCTTTGGCCCCTTGAATGTGGCTCTTCCTAAGCCTTAGGAGTACCCTAATTAAGTTAATAACGATGTACCTACCTATATAGTTTAAGTTTAAAAAATTTGGCTCTCCAAAGAAATTTCAATCGTTGTACTGTTGATACTTGGCTCTGTTGACTAATGAGTTTGCCGACCACTGACCTAGCAGATGAGTGGCTAGTGGCTCAAAATCGGCCATGGACTTATTTACACCAAGGAGATTGGCAAGCGCCACAAATCATGGCTTGGGTACCACTCCCCCCAAGGCGCCAGTTGCTAAACATTGACCACCGCCCTTCATCCTCTGGACAGAAGGAAGCTCAGGGCTGACCCTGGCTCTGAGAGCTGGTACCGGGCGCCCCCTGGTGGCTGCTTCAAGCACCCACCATCTCTGACTTCAATCCTGCACCTTGGAGAAACACACAGAAAACCAGGCACTCCAGGACCCCAGGGAGAAAGGGAGACCAGCTCCCTGCCTCAAAAGACGAGGTAACTGGACCCTGAGAGAAATTCTCAGATGTCCCCCCAAGTCTTTTAGCCTCTGGATCCCCAACCCCATATGGGGAGCCTCCCAGCTGATGTTTCTGATCACTCCCTAAGGGGAAGTGAGTGACATGTGGCTCCTAACGCATCAGCCCTTTCTCTCCAGGGCTGGCTGCCCCGGACCACAGTGGACACCCCTCTTCCACCAAAGCACCTCGAACGCACCTCCCTCTGTATGACACTCGTCCTGGAGGTTCAGGGCAGGGCCAGGCGTTCCTCCACGTCTCACCGTCTCACCGACTCTGATGCCTCCCCTATTCCCCCCTGCCTTGCCCCAGCCCCGCCTCTTCCTCCCAACCCCTCCCGCCTGAGCTGCAGCCAGTACCTCAGACCCAAGCCTCTCTGTACAGGTTGCGTCCTGGAGGGGAGGGGTCCTTCGCTTCCAGAGAGGCCCCTGGAGGTATTTTTCTAGAAGAGAAAACACCTCCCCGAGATGAACTGCATTTTCCCAAGCAGTGTGGGCTTGGAGCAGCAGGTCCTCCTCACTCCCTGTAGGAAAATGACTGAAAGGCATTGAGTCGGAATCCCGCTCAGCCACGGAAGGTGGGCCCCTCGCTTCACCTCGGGAGGCCTCGGCTTTCTGATGTGAGCTCAGGTTAAGGAGGGTTTTGAGAGTGGAAATGCGTGCACGCGGTCAGGTGCCGTGTAAATCGGGCAGCCACGCGTCCTGATTTGTTGGGGCTGCAGTTCCCCACCACAGGGGAACTCGGGGCTAAAATCAGGCAAGTCTAGCCCCAACGGGCTTGGCTCAGGGGTTAGAGCGTCGGCCTGGGGACCAAAGGGACCCGGGCTCAATTCCGGTCAAGGTCACGTTCATTTCCGGTCAGGGTCACGTACCTTGGTTGCAGGCTCCTCCCTGCCCGGGCCCTGGTCTGGGCTCATGCAGGAGGCAACCAACCCATGTGTGTTTCTCTCACATCGATGTTTCTGTCTTTCCCTCTCTCTTCTACTATCCCTAAAAATCAATGGAGCCTTGGGTGAGGATTCGCCAACAAAATAAAAATAAAAAGTGGAAAAAAAATACAATCAGCCAGAACCGGTTTGGCTCAGTGGATAGAGCGTTGGCCTGCGGACTGAAAGGTCCCAGGTTCGATTCCGGTCAAGGGCATGTACCTGGGTTGCGAGCACATCCCCTGTGGGAGATGTGCAGGAGGCAGCTGATCGATGTTTCTCTCCCATCGATGTTTCTAACTATCTATCTCTCTCCCTTCCTCTCTGTAAAAAATCAATAAAATATATTTAAAAAAAAAATACAATCAGGCAAGTTTCAGGCAGACTGGGCCCTCTGGTCACCCAATGCTGAGATCAGGGGTCAGCAAACGCACAGAGCCCAATCCAGCCTGCTGCTTGTTTATAAATAAAGTTTTATTAGAACCCAGCCAACCCCATTTATTCACAACAGTATCCATCGTGGCGCTGCATTGGGTATGATAAGGGAGTTGAGAAGTTGCAACAGGGACCCTGCTGCCCGCAAAACCTAAAATATTTCCTGCCTGGCCCTTTAAGAAAAAGTCCGCTGGCCCCGAACTTTTAAATGACAGCTAGTCGGTACTCCTGGGAGCTGGACAAAAGCCATGAAGTCTGCGGGAGGAGTGGGTGGGTCCTGGGTGTTAATGGGAATCCGGCCCCAAGTGGGACGGAGAGGACACGGTGGGGTCCTGGGGGGGCTGGCGTTGATGCATAGACTTGTCTGAGATTTGTGTGTGGGGGGGCAATTCTGTAGGTCAGAACTGGGTCAAAGGGGGATTTGAATAAAGAGGTCCCTTACCTTACCCCCAAACGGCCTGAAACCTTCCCCAGCTGCACAGGGATATACCAAGATGCCCTCCCCACTACCCCACCCCAACCCCACCCCCCAACCCTGTGCCCAAGACACAATACTGTTAACCCAACAGCCTGTGCATGGGGCTTCCTGAGGGGGATGGACTGGGGGGGAAGGACCGACCCCCCACCTGAAGGAGGCACCTTGATGTCTCGAAGCATTCAGCCAGCTCATGTTCATCAAATATTTACCGAGTGTGGCCACGCTCAGTGGTTGAACGTCGACCTATGAACCAGGAGGTCACGGTTCGATTCCCAGTCAGGGCACGTGCCTGGGTGGGCTCGATCCCCAGTGTGGGGCATGCAGGAGGCAACTGATCAATGATTCTCTCTCATCACTGATATTTCTCTCTCTCTCCCTCTTCCTTCCTCTCTGAAATCAATAAAAAACATATATTTTTAAAAATGTACCAAGTACTGGGTCTGGGCTGGGCAGCAGGACATGGGGTACTCCGGGGAATGAGACAGAGCCCAGCGGAACCTGGGACACAGGGGAAGGCGAGAGAAGGCAGGATGGGGGGTTACTCTGTCACCAGCAGGGAGCTCGCTGGCCCATGCAGCCTGCCCCGGCCCTCACGGGCAAGGGGAGAAAGGGGACATATGTAATACTTTCAACAATAAAGAACTATTTTTTTAAAAATAGTGGAAACTCAGAAAGAAAGAAAAAAAAAAAAGGCCTCACCCTGGGCTCCCCAGAGGGGTAGCTGAGAACACCCCAGCTGCCCCCAGCGGGGTACCGCAGAGTGGTCTCAGGAACCCCACGCTCCTCAGGACCCACCCCCCCAAATGCATGATGATTGGCAACCAGAAGACGAGAGCAGTGGGTGAGGGCAGGGGACCTGAGTCTCCCCTGGGCTCGTGGGAATGAGACTCCAGCGGCCAGGAGGAAGGAGAGGCCTGCGCCCTCGGTCCGGTTGGAGTGGCCAGGGTCCTGCCCTAGAGATCCCTCCCCCAGGGGCTCGGAGGAAGCCCAGACGGGTGGCCCAGGGCCCGAGCGCTGGGTGGTGGCCGCGGAGGGAGCGGCCAGGAGCCGGGGTCCTGCTCAGGGGCGCGGGCAGGGGCGCTAAGGGAGAAAGCTGTGCAGGGTAAGGTCATCCCCATTGTGGTCCTCCCCGGGCGCTTCCAGGAGGCCCGGGCCCTTGGCGGCGGGCAGGCTCCCGTTGGCGGTGGCGGCGGGCGCCTCCCCGCCCTCGGGCAGCAGGGAGGAGATGCAGACCATCTCAGTGGGCGAGTAGCTGCGCACGTGGTACATGTGGTTCCTGCGGGAGAGGCGGACGGCCAGCACCACGGTGCACACCAGGAAGGTGGTGGCCACCAGCGCCAGGATGAGGATGGCCAGCAGGCAGTGCTTCACGGGCATGAAATCCGGGCCCTTCGTGGGGCTGGGGGACGCGGAGCTCGGCGGCGAGAGGCCCTGGCTGCTCTTCCCCTGTTTGATGAAGGCGTCCGATGAATTGCTGGCGGCCACGGTGGTGCCCCCGTGAGGATCAGACAGCACGAGAAAGGCCGTGGAGAGACCCCTTGTGGACAGCGCCTTCGTGGTGGCTGGCTCCTTGGACAGGGTCTCTGTGGTAGTGGGCTCCGTGGGAGGGGCCGCTGTGGTAGCCAGCTCTGTGGACAGGGCCTCCGCGGCTGCAGGTTGCGTGGTCAGTGGCTCTGTGGTCAGGGCCTCCATGGCTGCAGGTTGCGTGGTCAGTGGCTCTGTGGTCAGGGCCTCCATGGCTGCAGGTTGCGTGGTCAGTGGCTCTGTGGACAGGGCCTCCGTGGCTGCAGGTTGCGTGGTCAGTGGCTCTGTGGACAGGGCCTCCATGGCTGCAGGTTGTGTGGTCAGTGGCTCTGTGGGCAAGGCCTCCGTGGTGGCCAGCTCTGTGGATGGAGCCCCCTCTGTGGATAGAGCCTCCGTGATGGGAGGGATTGTAGTGCCCAGGTCTGTGGTCAGAGGGCCCGGTGTGACAGGAACCCCCTGTGAGGCCAATTCCATGCTGAGCTTCCCAGGGGTTGCCCCTCTGGCATCCAGGCCACCAGAGTCCCCTGTGGTCACCTCCGGAGTGGCTGGCTCGGGGGAACCAGGCCCTGCAGACTCTCTCTGCCCCAACGTTCCCATCGCAGCCTGAAGCTCGGGGCTCAGGGTCACACCCGCTGTGATAGTTTCAAGCGTGTCTGGAGGGTCCGTGCCATTCGCCTCATCGTAGTCTTCCAGGTCATCCTCGATCCCATCCGCCGGGATCTGCTGGAGGCTGGGGCCCAGGAGGACCAGCAGCAGGAGGAGTGGCAGCGGCATGACACCTGCAGGGACACACGGACAGAGGGACGTCAGGACAGCTCCACCCCTGAGCTGCCGAGCCCCCCGGGCTGGGATGCTGGGCGGCCACAGCTGGGCGTGTGTCTGCTCTGGGGCAGACGCTTGGCTGCAGGCACCCGCCCGACCCAGCGCGTGCCCGGTGCACAGCGGGCCCTCCGCCAACAGCAGCTTTTCCCACTGATCAGCATGAATGGCCACTGGGTGCCGATAGAAAGCATCTGAGCTGCCGTGGCCCATACACCCGTGCGTTAGAGCGTCGTCCCCATACACCAAGGCTGTGGGTTTGATCCCCGTTCAGGGCACATACAAGCATCAACCAGTGAATGCATAAGAAAGTGGAACAACAAGCCAAATCTTCCTCTCCTCCTCCTCCTTCTCTCTAAAATCAATAAAAATTAAAAAAAAATTTTTATAGAAAATATGAACTATTAGAGCTTCTAGTTATATTGACTTTTATGTCCCCCCTTCTTAATCCCTATTTTTGTATACATCGGTAATATAACCTGAGTGGCGTCGTTCCTGTATACAATTCATCCGTGGATCCATACACTCATCTGCTGATGGGGGTGTCCAGGAGCAAGAGCTGGAGACCCCAGGTTTGGACCCTGGAGGCCTCTTGGTGTCTGGTCCTGACTCCTCTGTTCCACTCTCCCCAGTCTTGGCTCCCTGCCCCCTGCCCCCTCCCCCTTCCCTCAGCTGCACAGTTTTTCTTTTTCTGTCTCAGGGTCTCAGCTCGGACTGGCTCCCTCTGGCTATGTCCTTGCTCACACAGGGGGATGGCAGCACCTACCTCTAGGCTCTTGTGACATGAAACGAGGTGATGCAGAGCCCTTAGCACTCTGTTCCCAGCAAGCTCTGGCAAAGGCGGCTACTTTGATCTTTCACAAACCTATCCCGCAAGTCCTCCAGGGCCCAGAGCCTTTTCAGAATGGCCCGGCCCTCGGGGAGCTGACAGGCATCATTGGCCTGTGGGTAGGGTCACTGTCCACTTCAGCCTCCGGGCTGGGAAGCCAGAAAAGGGCAGCGCCTCTCCCTTCGGCCAGCTCCCTGGTCTCGCTTCTTGGCACCGTGAACACTCCTGCTTTCCCGTTCTTCCTCTCTCCTCACACTGCCCCTGGCACTGGCTGGTGGGTGTGCAATTCAAAATCGTGCATTAGAAAACCCCGCCATGAGTGACAGCTGTGTTCTAGGCAGGATTCAGGTATTTCTGGGTCCTCGGACATAAGACCCTCCGCAGCGGGCCACCCCTGCCTCAGCGCCGGGGGCAGAGTGAGCCTGCGTCATTTCCAGAACCTTCCCTTGCTCATCGCGTGATTTGGAGCGAAGAGCAGCGACTTGCTCACAGGCCCCTCAGCTTCCAGCCTTACTCTGACCTCCTTTCGTTGGTGAGAATTATGTTGGTTTCTAAAATGCCAAGCTGATCAGATCGGAGAATAATTTCTTAAACCCAACTCTATGGTATTTGCATCAGACACCTCTGGCCCTCCCGATTATCCTCATTTCGCTGTGGAGGGATGAGGCTCAGAGAGGCGAAGCGATTTGCCCAACGACACACAGCTGGCGAGAGGCAGAGATCAGAATTGAACCCAGCGAGGATTCAGGAAGGCTTTGAGGAGAGACCGAACCTAGCTGTGGGGGCAGGAGCAGAGGCTGGGAGGAGAGCTTAGCTCGCTGTGTTTGTGGCTCGGGTTGGGGAACAAGTTCGGGGGGTGGGGGGGGGGGCAGAGTAAGAATAAGAAGGACCTTAAAGGCCACATCACCTAGAAAGGCCGGCCCCATATGTACCGGGTGCCATGCAGGGCACAGGACTGGGAGCACAGACTATGGGGTCAGACAGAAAGATGTTTGAGCCGAAACCGGTTTGGCTCAGTGGATAGAGCGTCGGCCTGCGGACTGAAAGGTCCCAGGTTTGATCCCGGTCAAGGGCATGTACCTGGGTTGCGGGCACATCCCCAGTGGGGAGTGTGCAGGAGGCAGCTGATCGATGTTTCTCTCTCATTGATGTTTCTGGCTCTCTATCTCTCTCCCTTCCTCTCTGTAAAAAAATCAATAAAATATATTTAAAAAAAAAAGATGTTTGAGTCCTGGCTCTGGCTCTTACAAGCCGTATGACCTTGACACAGATCTTTGCCTTTCTGAGCCTCGGTTTTCGCATCTGTAAAATGGGAATAACACACAGTACCTATCCCATAGGGCTGTTGAGAGAATGCAGTGAGATGATGGATTCAGAAGTTCCCACAGTAGGTGCTTAATAAATGTGTCACACACACATACATGCACACCCACATACATGTTCTTTGCCTGCTAACGTGCCTTCTGGAGGCAGAGTTTCTTTGCACATGGGGGGTGGGGGGGTGCCTTCTTGGGGGAAGAGTATGTGGCCTAACCTTGGCCCCACTCCCCTGGGGGCACAGGCACTTTGGAAGAAGCCCCAGCTCAGAGCCATATTTCATAATTATGAGAAGACTCAGCCCCGCCTCGGGCAGTTCTCAGTTCCTGGAAGGCTGGGCCCTCAGCCACTTCCTGCAGAGGGAGGGCGAACACTCCAGGCCCAGCCCACCAGTTCCTGGGTGGGGAGAGGCCTCTTGGTGAGTCAGGGCCCCACGTTCTGAAGCCTGGGGGCTGGGAGGATGCCATGGAGGGGGCCGGGGCCTGTTCCCAAGGTGGGCCCTCACCCCGGTCTCCATCCCACAGTCCCGTGCTTGCAGGGGGCCGGGGCCTGTTCCCAGGGGAGGCCACTTAGCAGCTGTGTCACCCTGGGCAGGTCCCTTCACCCTCTCTGAGCCTGTTTCCTCATCTGTAAGACAGGTCCTATTGCTTCAAAGAATGGTGGCGAGCCGAACTGGTTTGGCTCAGTGGATAGAGCGTCGGCCTGCGGACTCAGGGGTCCCGGGTTCGATTCCGGTCAAGGGCATGTACCTTGGTTGCGGGCACATCCCCACTGGGGGGCGTGCAGGAGGCAGCTGATCGATTTCTCTCATCGATGTTTCTGACTCTCTGTCCCTCTCCCTTCTTCTCTGTAAAAAGTCAATAAAATATATTAAAAAAAAAAAAAAAGAATGGTGGCGAGCATGGAAAGAGATGCAGCCGGGAAGGCCCCAATGCTGGCATCCGCGGGGGGGTGGGGGGGGTCGCGCTTTATGTGGGGGGTTCTCTTCAGGGCAGTGGACAGAGGAGCAGAGGAAAGGTGCACCCCAGGGAGGGTACAGAGCTGGTATCCCCCCTGCCACCCCTGTGCACAGTTAGGGAAGCCGCAGGGGCCTGTGAGAGCAGACCCCGCCCCTGTCTGTTGAGCCTCGGTTTTCTCATCTGTAAAATGGGAATAACACACAGTACCTATCCCATAGACAAGTGCACTGGGAAACCCACGTGACCCCGCCTGGGCCTACCTAGGGCCACCAGCTTGCTCTGAACATCCCTGACGTTAGTGCTGAACGTCCCCGATCCCGTCTCCCTCAGTCCCAGGCACCGGCCTATTTAGTGGGAAGAACACGCGGCTCCCAGAGCTTCTGTGGCTCCTGGGGCCACGCAGGTCGCAAGGAGAAGAGCCGGGAGTGAGCACTGCCCGTGAGGGGCAGGACAATAACTGATCCTGGCTCAGATACACGTACTACAACCAAAGATGTCTCACAAAGCCCTCACCAGCCCTGGCCGGTTTGGCGCAGTGGATAGAGCATCGGCCTGCGGACTGAAGGGTCCCAGGTTCCATTCCAGTCAAGGGCACATGCCTGGGTTGCGGGCTCGATCCCCAGTGTGGGGCACGCAGGAGGCAGCCGATCAATGATTTCCTTCTCGTTTTTGATGTTTCTATCGCTCTCTCCCTCTCCCTTCCTCTCTGAAATCAATAAAAATATAAACGATAAAAAATAAAGCCCTCACTGTGGATGGATCATCCCCTCATAGGAGGCACCTCCCTCATCTTCACTCCACACTGGCTGTGACGATGCCCATTATACAGATTAGGAAAACAAGCCTCAGACCGGGGACTTCCTCCAGGCCTCACCTCATCTCTCCTCCAATGGCAGGAAAACAGCCGCTTACCACAGGAGGGGGGCTGAGCAAGGCTCTGAGAGAGGGACAGAGAGCTGTCACACCCCACTTGTCTGCTGCTCACCTAGCGGCGTAGGGCAGGCACTGCCCATTTCCTGTCTTCCAAGCTAAACCCAAGCTGCTTCTGCCGAGCCCCGCCTGGGCTTGGGGGGGTGGGGGGTAGGGGGGCACGCACCCCAGCTCCAGAGACCACCCTGGGCCACTCGTGACCTCCCACTCAGAATATTGGACCCCAGGAGTCCCAACGTTCACGTTCCTGGAACCTTAGGATCCGGAAGACTGAGCATCTCAGGGTGTGGGCTGAGCAGCCGCAAGAGAAGGGACGGCTCCAAACCCACAAGTAGGTCAAACCGAGGCCCACGTGACCCCTCACCGCCCACCACCACCACCACCACCACCCCGCTCCCCGTCACAAACACACTCTCGATCCCCGTGCTGGTTGGCATCCTGAATTGAAG